TGGCTCCCTCTTACAATACTCAAGCATCTCCCCAGGAAGGCCATTTAGATCCTGAGTCTTGAGTCATGGATTAATTTGAAAATTCTACCAAGAAACAGGCACCAAATGTTTCATGCAACTTTTGGTGACTCATAAATCCCAGCTTTAAGAATTGTCAGGCTTGCAGAGAGAAACTAGTGGTGGGATTTCGTTTCCATTGCACCAAATGAATTTTAGTTGATTGAAAAATGACTGATTATTACACTATACAGATCAGAATCTGGCCTCTTCAACATCTTGGAACATAGCCTTTTCCAGGGGTTAACAGCTATGTTAGTGATGTTACAACACCTAACCTGTATCAAGCACGCACAATGTTCTTGCCGTTGTGTTACATGCAACATCATTTTAATCCTTAAAGTCTGCATAGGTGAAGTCACTCAGGCACTCAAGATTTTAACTTTTCCAGGCGCAGTTTTTGAGTCACAAGCCCAGCTGACTTTGAAGCTACTATCTAACCACCATCTACTCCACTGCTTCCCCACTCTGGGATGAAAAATGTACTCACCGCCTGCAAGTGACAAATTGTGTAAGGTGTATTGTTCCAGGGAGAAGAGGCAGGCTTCAAGTAATGATATACATCTGATACTATCCAACATTAATTCTGACCACCCATCCTTATAAAACTCAAAAGAAATTTGTTTTAGAATCAACATGGCTAACTAATTCAGATCATTCTTACACATGGTACTAGCTCATGATCTTGGAAACTGAGACCACGTATGCCTTACTTCTCCTGCTCACACAGCATGCCTAGGCCACAGGGAGCTGTGTCACATGCAAGAAAGAACATTTGCTTCTCTCAGTTCTCAGTGGAGGGCGACAGCCTCTCAGATGCAAACCATGAGAATCCAATTGTAACTTTAAAAGGTCCATTTCATTTGGTTTCTACTACATATTATACACCTAGCTCATTTAAAAAATCAACCCTTGATTCTGTTTTACTAATGCCATGCCACTGAACAACTAACTTTACTATTGGGTCTTCTGAAAAGTCATGACGCATGTTTGCAACAGATGGCACTAGTTCATTTTTGGAAGTACTAGAGTTATTTGCATCTATGTTATTGCTATGTCATTTGACAGCTGACAGTTTAGCTTCATTCTAAAAAGAAATTGAGCGATTTGGTTGAGTTTTGGAGATTTTACAAGTTGAAGATGGAAGATAAAACTGCATTTTTGCCATGTTTTACTGTTTTACTTCCATAAAGGGAAGAATGTGTGTTAAGCTTGTGAAAAGTTGCATAAAGTTTACGGTGACAATGCTCTACAAGAATGTCAGTGCCAATGATGACTCACGAAATTCCCTGCTGGTGATTTTGATCTCAATGACGCTTCCTCAGTCAGGGAGGTCCACCGAGGTTCATGATGACAAAATAAAGGCATTGATTGAATCAAACCCACATTACACACCTGAAACCAGATTGCAGAAACATTGAACATCCATCATTCAAGCATTCACAACCACCTGAAGAAGCTGGGATGTGTAAGCAAGCTTGATATTTGGGTTCCGCATGAACTCAAAGAAGTTCATTTGATGTTGCATATAAACATCTGCAATATGCTCATTAAACGTGAAGAACATGATCCTGTTTTGAAGCAACTGATAACTGGTGATGAGAAGTGGATTGTTTACAACAATGTGGTGCACAAACGGTCTTGGTCCTGATGTGATGACTCGCCTCAAATGACTTCAAAAGCAGACATTCATCAGAGGAAGGTTATGCTCTCAGTGTGGTGGGATTTTAAAGGTGTCATGTTTTTCAAGCTTCTACCAAGAAACCAAATAATCAATTCGAATGTGTACTGTCGGCAATTGGACAGTTTGAACGAATCCATCATCCAGAAATGTCCAGAGCTTGCTAATTGTAAAGTTGTGTTCCATCGCGACAACTTACGACCACACACTCATTTGATCACCAGTAAAAAATTATTGGAGCTTGGATGGGATGTGTTGCCACACCCACCATACTCGCCTAATCTTGTGCCATCAGACTTCCACTTGTTTCACTCTTCAAATCTCCTTGCGTGGTATAACGTTCAATTCAGATGAGGGTGTAAATCAGCACCTTGTTCAGTTTTGTGCAAATAAAAACAGGTCCTTCTATGAACGAGGAATTATGAAGCTCACTGAAAGATGGCAAAAGGTTATTGAACAAAACGGGCAATATATCATTGATTGATCTTTGTTCTTTATATAAATAAATGACCTTTGAAAACCATAAGACAAAATACATCATGACTTTTCCAAAGACCCAATATAACATTTGAAATGCTATAATTCAGTACTATTATGTTCAGTCCAAGTTGGGTCTTCTGTGTATAGGCTGTACATCATTGGGCAGATTTGGTCACTAGTTAGCCTGGATAATTGTCTAGGGTCCTTAAAGATGCTTTTCTTAAAGAGTCTAGAAAATTCTTGGTCCCAATTTATCAAAACTGCTACCCTTAATTCACTTTAAAAGCGTTTCTTTTAATCGAAGATCCGAATAAGCATGCTTATCACTTGAATGCTTAAACGGTCATGTCTGAAGTGAATGCATATTTTGATACCTATGGATTGCACTTTCTTCCAACAGGTATTACTTTATTAAATCTTCAAAGTCTCATTATTTTTGTCAACTGATATAATCTAGAGACTGAAAAAACTGGTTATGCTGTCCCAGATATGCAAAACAATCTAATTTTCCTACCAACCAAATAAGCCACAGAATAGCTAAAAATGCAACTTGTTTAAACATAGGTAATTTGAGCAAGAATTTATAACATAGATAATAAAACCTAGTGGGTGGGGTTGCAGATTAACCACTCATAGTAAAGTATTATCATTTATACAGAATTACTTTTACAATAGCAATTAGCACAAGACATTAGAAGTCAAATGTTGTTAGTACGTGGGTGATATTTCTAAGCACATGGGGTATGTCTGGGGGAGAGGTTCCTAAGGAAGCATCGCCCCAGTAAGGTACTGCTTTTCTCATAGGGATGGATAAAAAAAATCGCCAGAAATATTTTTTCTTTGAAGAAATGCTTGAAAGAAAAAAGCGTATCAATTCTTGAGGTTCTATAAATGAACAGATCTAGTGTCACACAACATAAACTCTAATATTTGTTTGCCTGGTATTCTAATTTGCATGCTTGTGAATGCATTTTTAGTGATGGGGAGGGGAGGCTATTGCACATTATGAAGCAAGGATCAGATACCATCTTTTAATTTGCAATGGATTATACACACAGGATCAGAGAAACTTACTGTGAAACCAGTGTTTAAGTTGAGCTCATGTAGCATAGTTTAGTTTTTTATGGATGTTTGAACTCTAAAGTTTAAGTGCTTAAATAAAGGATTATTTTCTGAACAATTCCTACACTTAACAAAAATTTAGGCATGTGTTAAAAAGATTTTCTATTAACTTCTGAATAGACTGATAGATTACCATAATTCTTGAACAACCTTGATTATGTTGTGTCATTTCAGATAGATATAATCTGAGGTTCTGTGGTGATAGTGTCAGTCAAAATTCAAACCCAACAAAATGCAATTAAAAATATATTAACCAAGAAAACCTGTAACTTCTGTCATCTTGCAGTTGACTTAAGTATCACATGTGAAATATGACTTAGCAATATCAGTACCTATACTAAAAAGGAAAGTAGGACTTAGCTGCAGACAGAATGGAGTCTTATTTATGCCACAAAATGGTATTCCTTTTACTTCCAGGACTAGACCAGAAACACACTTGGAGAAAATACAAAAACTGCCCTTTGCTTCTATATGCATTAAAAACCAGTGTGTGTGTGTGCAAATAGCTAAAAGTATTAAATGGCACTTTTGTATTAATTGTATGTTTTTAAAGCAGATTGTACAAGAAACTTTGTCAAATTTCAAGTTACTTTTCATAAATTACCTGCTGCTTCACCCATGGAAAGACTTTTACATAGTTTAAGGTTACATAATCTTTTCGCTAAGCAACCACACCCATCCATCTCTCCAAAACTGTAAGCTAATATTTACGGACAAAAATCACTATAACTTTGTAGTCAAACAATTACACAAACTAGAGTCAAATTTCAAACATGTACATGATGTGGAGAGATAAAATAACCTTTCCAAGTTATGGTGCTTACCTAAAATTTATGTGTTTTGGAGCAAGGGATATGGGACAGGATGGGAGAGGCTTTGCTTCTCAATGTATATCAATATATTTTTGAACCCTGTGAATGTATTACCAATTCAGAAATTTACAACAATATGCTTAACATGTTGCTATTACATTATTTAGACATTTGTTCATTTTCAGTTAAGAACTTCATTTAACAGACATGTGCAAAAAAAGTCATACTGAAAATCATGATTCTAATCAATTTAAACTGAAAAATTTTGAGTTACAGATCTTTACCTTTTCACTATACAACTTAATGTAACCAATCTCATTCATTCTCAAATAATTCTCTTTACAAGTTTTAGAAATCATTACTCTAGGACATTAATAGCTCAACAGAATGAGGAGATGTCCTAGAGTGGGAGAAAATATTTACAAAACAAACATCTGATAAAGGGCTATTATTCAAAAATACAGAAAGAACTCTTAAAATTCAAATAAGAAAACAAATCCGATTAAAAAATGGGTCAAAGACCTTACCAGACACTTCACCAGATATACAAATGGCAAATAGGAGTATGAAAAGATATTCCACGTTATGTCATCAGAGGAATATAAATTTAAAGATACCATTGCACACCTGTTAGAATGGTCAAAATCCAGAACACTGACCAACGAATTCTAGTGAAGATGAGGAATAACAGAACTCATACATTGTTGGTAGGAATTAGTGCAAAATGGTACAGCCATTTGGAAGTTTGGCAGTTTCTTACAAAACTAAACAATCTTACCACACAATCCAGCTATCGCCCTTGGATTTCACCGAAAGAGCTGGAAATTCATGTCCACACAAAACCTACACACTGTTTATAGTAACTTTATTCATAATTGCCATATCTTGGAAGCAACCAAGGTATCCTTCAGTAGGCGAACGATTAAACAGTAGCACATCCAGACAATGAGTTATTCAACACTAATGAGAAATGAGCTATCAAGCCATAAAAAGACATGGAAGAAACTTGTGAATATTACTAAGTAAAAGACTCCAACCTGAAAAGGTTACATACTGATTCCAACTGTATGACATTTTGGAAAAGACAAAATTATGGACAGTAGAGCTGTGGTTGCCAGTGGTCAGGGTGGAAGCCGTGGTGTAGGCATAGGCAGAGCAGATTTTTAAGGCAGTGAATGATGGATATGTCATATTTGTCCAAACCTATAGAATGTACACCACCAACACTGAACTATAAACACTGGACTTTTTGGCTGATTATGATGTCAATGTAGGTTCACCAATTTTAACAAATGTATCCCTTTTGTGAGGGATGTTGATAGTAAGGGAGGCTCTCTTGTGTGTGTGGGGGGGGAAGGCATAATGGAAATCTCTGTACTTTCCTCTCATTTTTGCGTGGATCTAAAACTGCTCTAAAAAGTCTAACAAACGGGGATACTTACTATGAGCCAGGCACTGTTACATCCTTTTACAGAAGCCTGTTTTCAGGGTCCATTATCCTCTTTACTATGCCACTCGTTGCTCAATAGTTCCTTTGCAAATTAATTCACACTGTGGGAAGCTCACTTCAGATCCTAAAACCTGAAGCTCATTTTACAGATTAAAGCCCACTGCAGAATAGATTTGATAAAAGTAGATCAAGGTCATAGAGTGAATTCATATCACGGTGTCCTAGCAAAATATTTTTGGAGGGTGTGCAAAGATCTCTATAAGGACAAACATGGTATATTCTTAAAATGCTTAGTACCTCAATGCACACTCCAAAGTTAAAGCCCATTTTTAATCTTGCCAGAGACATTCAGGTTTGAATGCAAGTCTAGGTAGAACTGAATCCTCCTAGCTTCCCTTTTCCCCAGTTGATATTCCTGACAAATTAAATCCTTTCCAAATCTGTTCTCAATATTTCTTATAAAAATGATTATGGAGATATTACAATCTCGTGTTAAAGACCTTTACAGACAATTAAGTCCAAGGGTCCATCACCTTCCCATCTGTCTTTATCCCCCACACTGCTGACTTCAAAACCTTGATTTAAAATTTATCAAGCAAATTTTTATTGAAAAAGGTAGCATACCTTGAGAGGGGGAAATAAGTCTTATTCTTAAACCTTGAATAAAAATTAAGTTTACCTTCTCAAAAACTATAATTATCAATTGTGAGGATATTCTTCAATTTCCTTCATATTTCAGGAGATACTGTCCTTATCTCATCATAGAGCCTTTTACATACATATTTTCCCCATTTGAAGCAAAGGTAGCAATAGCCAAAGACCTGTGACAGATGATGGCGAACCAGGGTAAGTTACTTCTATTTCAAACTCGATCACTGAGAAGCCATAGGGTCTGTTCTTGGCTTCAGCTACCCCATGGGCAGTCAGAACATCACTGTTAGTCCTGCTATTTATCCCACCCACATGGACCTGCAAAGACCAAGCCCTTGTACCCATCTCTACACAACACACACACACAAAAACTATGCCTGTTCTTGTACACAAATTATCATGCCTCAAGTATCTAGAAAGCAAAGAAAAAAAAGGAAAAGGCAGATAAGCCATAATTGTTCAATTTCATTTTTCTCTTAAGTGCTACAATTGTTTTGATCCTAAAAGTGCCTATTCATTTATTCAAAAACAAATTACCTAGTATGTACCATACTCGAAGATGTTCCACAAAACTCACCTCATGGTTCTCACTTGAACACATGTTCAGTGATGGCAATTAAAAAAAATTTACAAAATTGCCATGCAAAGTCTACATATGCAACTAGAAAGTTTTCTTTGTATGCATTTTCTAATTATCCCCCTGTAGGATTTCTAACTATGGCTTAAAAACCCAATGAACAAGTGAAGTTTCCCTCTGTACATGGCTTTTATTATTTACATAATACAATATAGCATCAATGCTGGGTAGCATGATTATGTGCAATACATAAATATGAACTATCTGTACACATCTGCAGATCTAACTCAGAACTAAGGTACATAAAATTGAAAGCAAAACTGTGAATGCTTTAATAAAAGTAGAAACTAGGACTGAACACTGCAATAAATCAGAAGTAGTGCCTCGTGTACATACTTAACTATTTACAGATGAAAACAGGCATTACCACAACACTAATCTAACTATACTCATTTATATATAAAAAACACAAGTTTCATACATCACAGAAAACCTTCCATTATAACACAGAAGTGATATTACCAGACAAGCATCAGTGAAGTATACTGCCTCTTCTAGTTGTTATTGTACAATGCTGTAGATAATGCAGCCCATGCAATACACCCAAGAACACTAGAGTCCTACACCCAAGTACAATATGATAAAGCAGCCCTCTGCAAGTGGTGCTGGATACCACTAAGAAGTCTACTGCAGCCATGTTGATTATGATTTTTCCATGCAGAAGGGTACAGTTACATTAAGAACTGAAGTCTTTTAAAAAAAGCTTTAAACATTCTTTCCTGAACCAAAACATTCAAAAGATGCACATGAAAAATTAACGGTTCAGATACCTTTGCAACTTAAAATTCAGATGCATGTTATTCAATAGAGCTGCTGTATGTGAAAACCAAACGTAGAGTTTTAATTTCTTCTTGTAAACAAAATTAATCCTAGTGCAGTTCTGTGCTACACATTTTTAGCAATGAGAGTAATGCAGACATCTTCTGGTGCAGGCCAGCACAATAAGCTTCAACGACAGCTCAAGACCCTGTTGCTTGATGGTTTTACTTTTACGATAACCAGATGCGACGTTTACTTTTCATAAAATGTCTTATTTGACAGCTTTTAGAAGACCAATTAGCCAGGCTTATATATGGCACCAAATACTGGTTTCACGGAAAGGTCTGATCCTCTTTATAGCCTTCTTCCTGCTTCCAAAGAACATGTTGTGGAAATTAACAGGGTGAAGTTTAACTATGGTAGAAGTAGACTGCCAGTCCTTTTCTGGTGTACCATTTTTTAAAAAAATACAGGCACATAACACTAGCCAAATATTATACCTTGATTACATTCCCAAAAGGCAGATATGCTGCAAACATGCAGAGATTTCATGTACTTTGTTTGGCACGTCAGAACTAAATTTTTTCCCTATTATCTGTATAACTCAATTTGCTGTGCAGATTCTCATCCAATTTTATTCAAGGGAGGGCATATACATTTTGTAGGGCTGTATCTATCCAATTCTGCCTGTAACAAACACCCAAACATCCTAAAATATCAATTATAAGACAGACAAGTATAAAGTAAAACTCTGGAGAACATCAAAGGAAAATGGCCATGCATCTGCTCTTTAATGTTTTCCTACGATATATTAAAATAAAAACAAAGTTTCAGTCTCTTCACAAGTAGTAATTTATATTCTCTGGATTTTTTCAGCCACAACAACTGGATTCTCTTTTCTGATTTTTGCTGCAGCTTCTGCTTTGTAATCATATGGACAGTTGTGCTTGTCAGAGTAACGGTGAAGTCCACAAAACAAATTTCCACATCGGCAGTCAAACCCTGCACACACGAGAGGAAGTAGTCACTTGGGAGCTTGCAGCAGTTAAAAGGGGGGAGAAAGGGCGGGGAGCCTTATTCACTATAGAAAAGGAACCAGATCTTCATGGCTCGTCTATCACTTTAAATTGTGCAAGAGCTTTTAAACCCCCTTTGACATGGTGAGAAATTCAAATAACTATTCTTCCATAAACTCCTGCAGATATAATACAGGGTAGAAACTCTAGGCTCTGGAATCAGGCTGATGTAGATGCAAATCCTACTCCGACCATGTTAACTGGGTCATGTTTCCTCAAGTGAAAACCAGGGAAACACAACCATCAAATTCTGAGGTTTAAAGGAAATAAAACGTTATCTAGGATATTTTGTGCCTGGCTCAAAGTAGGTGCTTACTGTTTAGTTTAGGTACAGCTACCTTTTCCCCAGGAGAACAAAGGAAAGAATCAAAAGGGATGAATTTTTCAGTCCAATAAAGGAAAGGAATTCACAAGGCCTGAAGTTAATAAAAGGTTTCATGTGATCAGGGAGACAAATGGAAATCAAATTCAACTTCTCCCCACTATCCCTTCTCGCCCACACTAGAAATAGAAACTTTCTTTCCCTGCAAGTCGGGCATGTTTTATGTTTAAGACCGTCCAGCCTCTGAGGGAGTAACCAGGAGATCCTTCTTGAAGCCTAGCTGTAAACATACACTGTATAATGTGTTCTGGAATACCTGTAAGGCCAACTTTCTTTCTGCACATGAAACATCTGTTCTTCTTTGGTTTAGGTAACTCAGGAGCTTTTTCTTCACTTTGAGAAGTACTGGGCTGAGAAACGGAGGGACTGGGCTGAGTAACAACTGTAAAACAAGGGTAAAGTTAGAAGTTTGTCAAGAGTTCACTGGCTGACAATTATCTAAGTAAAACAAAACAAAATATTTAAGAGAAACAGTAAGATTCTTAGTGAAAATGTTTAAGTAGCCTTTCTTAAAAACATGTACTTGAAATAGAATCTTATATTTTTTTGAATCTTATACTTGAATATCAGAACTTTCAAATCTGAGAATTTCTTGCCAATTAACATAATACCACTTGCTCCCCTAAATTTTGTAAAATGATCACCGCACTCAATTCCTTTGAACGTATTCTTAACAGATTGTACTGAGAAACAAAATCCTAATTCTAACTTTTTAAAGACCTGAGAGATGTTGTTCATATGCTCAGTTTTTTCATATCGCAATTGTCTAAATGTTAACATCTTAATTGGTAGGGCTGTTCAAATTCATTACTATTCAGTAAATAAAGTTGCCAACTTACAAGGTACTATAAAAAAAGAAATCATTTTCGTTTTACACTGACAGTAAACTGTTTAGATAAAACCAGCAGATTTTGACAAGTAAAACTGAAATCATTAATCACTAGTTTCAGATCCTAAAAATTTCACAATTATTATTTTGCCATTTTAACAAGTACTTTATATTGTCTTACGTAGAAAATCTAGAAGATTTTTTGAACAGTTTCTTTTGAAAGATTAGGAAACATCTTTAGGACAATGTAAGTACTTGGGAAGTTTTGATTTTAAACTACTAAGGATTCGATAGGCAAAACAAGACTTTTTAAACCACAGCTGTTATTTACTTTGTGATACTTATCTAAAATGGGTATGGAATTTAGAGATATGATCTACATTAAGTCTGTTTTAATATTAATCCACACCCCAAGAATAGAAAATTAACGTATGCAATGCTAAAAGTACTACTCTACTGCCTAAATAGGCCAGCAATATTAGCATAAACCCAAAGTTTAAAAGCAAGCCAACTTACTCTAAAATTCTCCCCAAATTTATAACTCATTTGCATTAGTAATATATCCAGACTAACACACTATTCCACCTATTACTTATTGCTAAAAATCTATTATGTATGACAACCTCAATATAATTTTTCCTGATGGGGGATGAGGGTAAAGAATAATCTTTGGGAATAGCTGAGGGATGTGGAGGGATGACAGCCATTTCCTTGGCCACACCTGAAAACCAAACTGGTTCCTAAGACATACAGGGAAGAAGGGGCTAAGAAAAGAAAAGCGATACAGAAAAGGCAAAGAAGCAGTAAACTACAGAATGCCTACTAAGAAATAATAAATGTGAAGACTAGCTACCAGATCTAACCCAAAAGGTAATGTTCCAAGGTCAGAGTAATTTTGTGTAAAACAAAAAAACAGAACAAAAGCTTCATATATGTACACACTAATTTGGTCATCTTTTTCAGAAGGGTAAACTCATTTCAAAATACCAAATATGGATTCACCTGCCCAACTTAAAAATTTTAACCTAAACTTTACAAGTTAAGATTGATCTAGTTCACCTATGCTTGGCTATGTGATATTAGCAAAAGCCAGCCTCCAAAGCAGATTATATATCCACTGACACCATTTCCTCCCAATCAAGTTTCATATTGTGTTCCGTCAGCACTACCAGGAGATAATGAATTCATCAAAGGTAAACTATGTGCACCACAGAACACATGGATCCTTGCTGTAGGCCTATCACAGGCTATTCAAACAAGTCCATCTTCTGGCACATCAGTCTGGTTGCACTAGGTAAGTTAAGCAGACTTCGAGTCACTCTCTAACGAAAACCAAAAATACCTTTCCACAGTGAGTTTTAAGCTCCCACAAAATGAGTTCCTACAGTTCAACTTGAAAGTTTGTGTTCAATATGTTCTTTTGCTTCAATATTTTCTACAATATTGACAATATCAAGACTGAATACTGTTTTGATTATAAAATTTTTCTTCACAGCTTTGAAATTTAATCTATATTAATTTCTAGGTTTGTGGACGATAACTTCTCTAATGATTTAAGACACCTTTAAAATATGATGGTAAACCACCTTTTAAGTTCATTGAATTCTTAACACTTCTAGCCTCTTGCTTATAAACTTTGCTGATTTGGGGGGGTGGGGGGGCAGAGAAAAAAGGAGAGAGTAGAGTGACTATTTTACACTCTTTAATGATGGTGGTTCTTTCTTGGCCTGCATTTTATAGCTAGCTCTCTCTCTCTGATCCTTCAATGGGAAGGAAAGACTCCCCCCACCAACCCTTTCTCATACTACCAAGTCCAAAACTGAACTAGTATGAAACAAAAAGCATACCTGGCTCTGACACCTCTGTTTTCGGGGTAGTTATTTTGTCCTCTCTTGAAATGCTCATTTCTGTCATTTGCTGAGTGACAGGCAAGGCAGCCACAGGCACATTTCTATTTGAGTTCAAGCAAACATTTTTAAAGATGTTAAGGGTACTTCTTTGCGAGATAGTAAGTTGTCAGTTCAACTTTATATATTATTTCCAACATGATGAAATGGAGCTAAATAATCTAAAATTTTAAAAGGATATTGGATGCCCAGCACAAATGGTTGAGAATAAAGAAAGCAATTTGATAAATAGCTATTCCATTCAAGGCTGCATTATCTGTATAGATCACCATGTTTTATTGTAGCCAACTAGGAATTTTGAGCTGTGCCTGCAATTTGTTTAAGGGCAAAAGGAGTCAGTTTTGCCAAAATGCTTGTGTGGCATTACAATACAGTCTGCGGAGCCTCACTTTCTACAACCCCTAAACCTCAATTACAAGTAAACGAAAGCACAGCATCTTTGGGGGTGTTTTGGAGTGCGTTATATATCTTTACTCAATGAGCTACAAAGATCATACGTTAAGATACTGAAATCCCTGACTGTCCAACTCATACAAAACCAAGGGCATCTGATATATTAACATCCTTATTATATATTAACATTCACAATTATAATTGTATAGATAGCAGAGGTATTTTATTTCCTCCTTGTATTATAAAACTTGTAAAATGCTCCGACTTACCTTGATTTTTCAGATGTGCTGCCAGCAGCACCTTCACAGTTGTTTAAACTAGTAGCGTCTGCTCTTTGTACAGATGCAGAATCTGAGGTAGGACTGTTGGAACCACTAGCTGTCCCTATTTAAAGAAAGGATTTGTAAGAGACAAAGCAATACTACACTCAGTATCAAGACTAATAAGTAACAAATACTTGCATTTAATTAGGTTAGTGATCTAAGCACTTTCACTGTGCTGCAGAATCCTATACTTGAGTATCCAAACAAAAATACCTATTAAAAAGTCATATCCAGTGAATACAAGCATGAAACAAAACCTCAAAAAGGAAAATGAAAAAACTAAATGATGCTTGTAGATAGTCATTCATTCCTGATGTAGTCATGCCAAGTACTTGGGCTGTTGCTTTAATTTCAAGCTTTTCTCAGGTCTTCTCTCCTTGGGCTTTCAGCCTTGATTCTCTCAGTCTTAGAACCCAATTCTTGGCTCTATGTTTTCTGTCCACCAGTTCTTCAAATGAGTTTTTCCTTGGAAACAACTTACCCATTGGGCTCATTCTGCCACTATTCTGCTGCCTCTGAAGATGTTCTTTGTAGCAAACAGAACACATTCCATTTGTCCTAGGATTTCCATAGAAGCCACATCCTGTACTACACAGCATGGGCCCTGGGGTCTGGTTAGTCTCCTGAGCCATATTTTTCTGCTATAAAAAAAAAAACAGAAGCAAAATTTTAGAAACTAGCATGTAACCAAAATAAAATCACTAAAAATCACTAAATTACTACGATGGTCACCAGTGTACCTTTGTTATTCTAAACACCAAGTCTGTTTCTAACAAAGGCCCATTACAAAGACTAGGCCAAGAAAATTAGGAATATTTCGTTGCCTTTTTAAAACAAAGGGCATGAAAGAAATTCTGTTTTAGCTTGATAAAGAATGAACTATAATGACTACACAATTCTTTAGGACAAAAAGATTCTACCATTAAACATTAAAATGTATTATTGCACCTGTCACTAGTTTTTTCAATTTCTGAACAGGTCACTGCCTGATATCAGAATTATGTTTAAATCAATTTGGGCAATTGATATCTTTAAGTCACTTTCTGCTCTCATGCGATTAGTTAAAAATATATTAAATGAAACTAGCAAATGGAAAAAAACCCTACAATAATCAAAACTACTGACTCTTGAGATCTGTTAGTGGTTCTTTTAACTGGTTGTATATTCGATGTAGCTCTAAAACTTTCTTAAAACTAATACCTGAATATACTTGGGCCCCACTAGTAATTCAACAATTCTGCTATGGGTTAGAGCATTTGTGCTCTTAAAACGTTGCAAAAACTTCATAGCCCACTGAAAAGAAAGCTAGTATAGATCGTCTTAGCCTTTCCTGTTACCTTGGCACCAACAAGTGAAGCTCTTTAAGAATTTAGGGGGTCAGCTGCTTAACCTTTTATGTTCTACACTTGAGGTGTGAGATCTGGGTCTGAGTCCTTTTAAAGTCAGTGTCTAGAAACCTGTAAAGCACAAATTATCAGCTGCAGATTTCTCACCAAAGGCTCTATCTATTAAAGTTTTAACAAGCTCTTGTCTTCCTCATACCAGAAAATGAAACCTTTTTAAGCTCTATTTCAGTATAGCAAAGCAAAGCAATATAAATACACCTTTAGTAATGGTTAATATTTAATGCTAGGTCTTTAAAAAAAAATTTTTTTTAATGCTAGGCTACCAGAAAGAACTTACAGTAAGAATACTCTTCCTTTTCCAGAAGCCTTGTTAAAATTAGCACAAATTTAGTAATAGTTAGCTAAATTTCTAAATTTCCCTCCGAGTTAAGAGAAAATACACATTTAAGAAAAATGTGAGGCTTTCCATGTCATCTTAAAATATGCATGAGTGTACAAAAGCATATTTGAGAGCATTTTATCAAAGGAAGATCATCTGCTCTAACTTGTGGTCACTGTTATTTAAATGTGCCTTAATTTTGATAATGGAGGTCAGTTATGATTTATTAAGTTGTGAACATTTCAAATATGTGCAGGAAAAATACTTCAAGCTAGAGCTTGTCATCTCCTGGAATTTTATATAGCTTTTCCAACTACCACATACTAGAAAATACACTCTTTAGTGAGCTATTAAAAACAATGTTGTAGCAAGTGTTAGCAATTTTTATTAACAAAATTATAAAAAGGGTGGAAGAAGACTAATCAATTTTGACCCGGCCAGAATCCTGACAATAATTCCCCCAATTAAATGATAGTAATCTTTTCTTTTGTTAGCAAAAAAGGCACCATTTTCAAGCTTGAAAATATTTCAAGCCAATCAAGCTTGTAAGGAGTGACCAAGATCCCCAATTTCAAACAATAATACTAATTTAGCTGACACTGTCTCTTTAAATAGTAAGTGGAATTTAGCTGACTCATTTTAGAGCAGAGTAGTGTAAACATTTCAAAATCACTTATGAAGTTTATTAATAAACACTTTCAGCTGGGTTTTTAAAAATTTGAGCATACATGCAAAAAGCGCTTCAAATAATATATTATGTATTTATTTGCATGCCAACAATGCAAAGTGTGTAAATCTTGACCCTAAACAAAAAGTTGGGCCATTCCCTGACTGAACCCAGCTTACGAGTTGTGCTAGCCCACACTTTCTATACTAATTTCCAGTGTCATTTGACAGTGGCTTTAAAAGCAAATTAGTCTAAATGAGCCAACCAACATTATTGACATTAGTCTAATTCTTAAAATCTTGTTTTATATAAATTAAATGGTGTTTTTTTTCCCTCATCCAATGATTTCACCCACTTCAACATGCACAGTATTCCACCTTTCCTTCTTCAGAAAACACATCTACCTTCAAATCACTATAAATAGCCTTCAACTCTGAGACACCACGACTTTGGTCTTTTACATGGTTTCTCCCCTAGAAAGCCAGCTTTTAAATGCCATCACATGTGCACAGCTTGCCTTAATATTTCTCAGAAGCTTAGATCACATGTGCCGGCGCTTCAGCCTGTCACAAGGCTGCAATGTGACAGGCTGAGCTGGATGGAGGCTCTCACATAAAGCCTAGTCAACAGGGGCCTCTGAAATCAGCTTCTATTTATATCTCAGAGCCTGCCAACTCCTACACAACCACAAGAACTAAGGATGCGGCCTTCATGCATCTAATATATAAAGAAAACACAACAAAAAGATGCCATTAAGGCTGCTACAGTTTTTTCAAATGTAGGGAGGGTTAGAGAATCTCAAATTCAATCTAGGAGATGCAAGCTTCATTAATCACTCATGAAGGCAAAATGGTCAGGGCTGTTTATAAAAACAAAGCACAGTAGAGAGCACATCAAGACAGGAAGAATCCTCGTGTTTAGTGGCAATTTTCTGGGTAGGGTGGGGGTTGCCAGTAGGTACTGTGTGGTTCTTTCCTACCTGGCAGTATTTTGGAAAAATGCAGTACCATTACTATTCAGTACTTTTAAAGTTGATATAAGCTTGAGCATACATGTGCCAGCTCTATCAGGTATAGCTGAAATGTGTTTTTATAGTTTCAGCTTTCTGTAATTCATAGCTTAAAAAACAAACAAACAAAAAACCTGGGCATGCCACTGAAATCTCCAGCCTCAAATATAATTTTTTTAAAAAGGCTTTTTACACCTATGGGATTTAGTTCTTCCAGGTGCACCCAATGTTTAAAGATGTTTAAAATGCCCACTCACCTGGAGTTGATACCTGAATTCTAGCCTCTAATCTACCTCTAACTAAACGAGTGACCTTGGGCAAGTCCTTACCCTCCCTATCTCAGTTCCCCTCTGCCAAATGAGAGTAGATTAGTGTGATTTTTTTTAAAGCTCCTTTCCAGGCTTAATATCAGGCCTGATAGAAAACAGAGAACAAAACAACGACAAACCCCTTTTGGGGGACATTTAAGAAAAAACTTAAAAAATAAAACTGCAATTATTTTCACTAATTCAAATGGTTCTGAAATCCTATTTTACAAAATTAGTAAAACGAAATTCATTTAATTTTTTTTAAAGCCTTTAAATTACCTGAAAACCAGGTTTAGAAACAGGGGCTCTGTGACCTATATACTACTTTACACTAGTGTCCTTAAACCAGATTCTTAGGAGGCATTCAATCAATAAAGATAACCCGGGCCTTGCCCCAAAACACAGCTCCAGGGAGTGAGCTGAAAGCGAGCAAAGAATTTCACGTTCATCAGCCTAAATGCACGAAACAAAGGGGAAGGCGTTCCATTTCTTTTATGAAAGGGATCTTGGGCGAGAAAAGCAGAAACATTGGGAAAACTTATACAAGACGACAGAGAAGCCCCCCTCACCCACGTCCTAGGGAATTTTAGAACAAGTTCGGGTCCCACCGGTCCCCCAACCCTACCCTCATGCCCCGCGCCAAGCACAGGCCTCACTCAGGAAAGCCCAGCAGGGCCTTCTCCAAAAACCACTGAGTCATGCGTAACAGCAGCTCCGCAGGACAGGCCGGCCCCTCACCCTGAGTCGACCCCCGGCCCTGCACGGCTCCCCGAGGAGGCGGCGAGCTGGGGGGGTGCGGCGAGCGGGGCCGGGGGTGCGGCCGCCGCCACCACCTCTTTGTCTCTACGGGCTGAGCTGCCCACGCCGGGCGCCGCTGAGGGCGGCCGGGACCGACGCGAGGGAGACCCGGGGCCCGAACCCCCGGAGGCCGCACGCCGGGTATTGTTTCCCCGAGTGTGCTTGAGCGAGTGAGCCCGGGCGCATGGAGCCGGGCCTTAGGCCACGACGACAGGATGACGCCTCCGTCTTTGTGCTTCCTGAGCTGGCGGGCTGGCTCCCCTCCCCCGGACGCCGCCATCGGCGGCCCGCTCGGGCTTCGCCGAAGTTCCGTGGCGATCAGGTCCCCACCCCCACTCCCACCCGCCGATCCAGCACGAGCCGCCAGGCACCCTCCCCCAGCTCCCCACCACTCACCCTGCGTGGGCAGCAGTGCAGGAGTCGGGCTTGCGCGCGACGCCGGCGCGGTAGGGCCGAGTCGAGCCGAGGCCTGTGGAGGAGCTCGCCCGACGCCCTGGAGTCGCCGCCGCGGGCGGGAAGCAGGTAGGAGCCTCAGGCGGGGGTGGCGCTCCCACCGCCGCCGCGGGGTACTTCTTTGTTCCTGCAGCAGCACCAAGCGTGGCCTGGACACGCCGGGGCTCGGGAAGTGGGAGGAGGGAAGCGAGGGGGGGCAGAGGAGGAGGCGGAGGGAGGACCGGAGGCCGCCGAGGCTAACGCTGCTCGGGGCGCTTGCCCGTCGTCGCCTCACGCCTCCACCGGCGGCGGGTAAGGCCGAGTCCGAGGGCGAGCGGGGCGCGCGCAGCGAGGGCTGGGCGCCGCGAGGTCCCGCTGATGGCGCTCTCCGTCGCTTCTGCTACCGCTGATGAGGCTGCGTGGCTCTCAGGAGCGAGCGAGCCCCAAACCGAAAAGCAGACCGGTCCGCGCTCCAGCCGACTGACGCTTCCTCTCCGCTCGGCGCTAGGGCAGTGAGGGAAAGAGGGAGGGAGGGGGCGGGGCCCGTGCGTCAGCGAAAACCCCTACGGCGGCGGCGGGGCGCGCGGTGACGTCCCCTGCCCGACGCCCCGCCCCCGACTCCAGGCACCAGGTCCGGGAGGCGGAGCGGAGTGTGGCCGCGCTGCCATCTCACGGAGCCGAGTCACTGGCCCGGCTCCGGCCCTAGGGTGGAGCTGGAAAGAGCTAGTCCTGCGGGTGATGCGTTACTATTTTTAACCCGATTGTCGGCCTTCGGCCTCCCTCCTTCCGATTTTCTCACTCAAGCTCGCTTCTCGCCACCTGAGTTCTCACGCTTTGTCTGGAGCCCTTTCCTCCTTACTCTCCTAACCACTGCTTCCCCGCCTCTCAAGAATTAAAAGGATTCGCCTCGAGTAGAGGAAAAAGAACTGCTTTATAGCTTCTGGGTCTTTTTAGCCTGTTTATGAAGCCTCTCCCCGCCCCACTCCCTTCCACCCCCTTTCGACTCCAAAGTCTAGCCTGAGCAATGCCCTGAAGCCACCCGGAAGGAGCTGGGCAGGCGGCGCTCGCTCAAGGTCACGGGTGGTGGTGCAGTCTGGAAACGCGCTGTCGTCTAGCTGCTAGTCGTCGGCCCTGGCGTCGCTGTTCTGAACAAACTGTTTTTTTGGCCAGCCTGTAAAATCCCTAGAAATTGACTATTCCAGCAAAGCATCGTAAACTGGGAAAGCACCAAATGTTCTACTCAAGAAATGGAGTTCAGAGATAAACAAGCTAGAACTGAGGCGGAGATCAGAAAGGAGACGCTGCAGGAGGAAGTTCAAGAGAGGGGAGGTATGAGACAGGCAATTCAGAAATGAAGCGCAGAGCTCGACTAGTAATGGTTAGTTCACTCAAAACACTGAGACTCTTTTCAAAGCACCACCACCACCAACAACAACAAAAAAACCCGCTTCCAGCTGACCTCTCCAGGTGACTTTAGTTCAACTCAAGAACAAAATTACTAAGACAGAAAGGAATTCTGAAACTTTTCTAGTAAACATTGGCCTAATGAATAAATAGAAATTATATTTAGGGCTTATATTAGCCACCATTAAAAATAGAGTGAGAGGTCCCTTCCGTGTTTCCCAAACTTGCTGATCAGAAAAATCACCTGGGTGATCATTTAAAAGATCCCTGGGCCTCTCCCCTCGAGATGGTTTTTGTATGGAGGTGGAGCTCAGGAACTTGTTTTTTAAGTAATGCTTTATATTGTGTATTTAGGAGACTCTGTCCTCGTTCCCTATGCCAAAATTTCCAAATCAAACAGTACCCCCCTGCCACAGTAAGGAGAATGCCTAGAACATAACTGACCATTTAAGGTTATTGTTGTGGTCAGTTAATGTGTTAGAAATCCTAAGTAGTTTCAGTCACTTGTCCCAGGACCATTGGAATTTATTTCCTTTAATGAGTAGACAAATAGTAAAAACAGAGCAGCTACCTTTTACATACCATTTCTGGTGCTAAGTATTTTCCATTTAGGGTCTCATTTAATCCTCACAGCAATTCACTGAGATAGGTACTATCATATCCATTTTTACAGATAAGGGAATGATGGCTAAAGAAGATAAAGGACTTGCTGAAGGACAGGAAAGCCATGGAAGTGATTCTTAGGACGAAAGTAACTTGGGGATTTTTGCCCACAGAATTTTAGTTATTAAAAAGTGAAACAAGATCATTCCTGTAGAAGGATAATTGAAAAACAACAACAACAAAAAGCCCCCACTAAGAGTCAACTACCCTAATCATTCTCAAAGTGTGGTCCCCAGACCAGCAGCAGCAGCATCACATGGGCACTTGTTACAAATGCAAATTCTCAGGTCCCCACGCCAGACCTGTGGAATCACGAACTCTGGAGGTTGGTCCAGCTATCTTTGTTTTAACAAGTCTTCCGTGTGATTCTGATGCATGCTTGTGTTGGAGAGCCATTGACTTACCCCTACCATGCCATGAGGCAATCTCTCTCTCAGATGCTCACACCATATAAAGTGAAAAGGTTAAAAAAAGAAATTTTCGGGCCCGCTGAGTGGCGCGATGGTTAAGAACTCGCTTGGGATGCCAGAGGGCCCCGGTTCGGATCCCACATATGAGGGCCAGTGACACTGCCCTCCACAGCTAAGATGCTGAACAACAGCTCGACCTGGAGCTGGGCTGCCATGAGTCCCTGGCGACAGTGTAGGCTGCAGCCCCAGTGGCAGTGGGTTGCCATGGGCTACCGTATGTAGCCAGCAGCCAGCGTGAGCGGCCAGCAGCCGCAGTGAGCGGCCGTCCAGAAGCCGGCGACTGATCTGCCTCTCCTGAGAAGAACGCAATGATGGTGCCAACTTGGGCCAGTGAAGCAACATCCTCCACAACTAGACTGAAGAACAAAAAAGGACAGCAACTTCTCTGTTCCCCTTCCCCCAATTCCCCAGCACTGTTCCCATTCCCCAATTCCCCAATAAAAACTTTTTAAAAAAAAAAAAGAAATTTTCTCATATTACTGGTGTAACAGATTATGGGGATATGCTTCTATGGAGTTTTTTGGTTTTGTTTTTTCATGTTCTAAACTTGCAGTTGGACTCTAAAGATAAACTATAAAACACAAAATAATAGTAGGATGCTTTTAGTATAATATGCAAAAGGGCTGTCATTCTATGATGATCTGAGAAGGTCGAAACCAGCCTCTGTAAAAAAGATAACAGGGTAAATGGGGTATGCTTAAATGTGTTCTCAATTAATTGTTCAAAAACACTGTTCATAGAATTTCACCATGTGCATGAAAAAGGGGTTCTATGGAAAGTAAAACCACAGGGTGATCTGATCTTAAATTCCTAACAGGGCAGGTTATAGTGGGTAGTCACGTCACAGGCATGTAACTTTTTCAATAAAAGGTTTATCTTTGCCTTAAACAAGCTGTCCATTGTTTTTATGCATCTAGGTTAACACACCTTTGAAATAAGCATAACCACCCTCAAGAGAGCACATAATCTTGTTAACTACTCTGTTGTCCAATCCCCATTTTGCTTTCTCTCTCACCTTCATATAACCTTATATTCTTCCTAAGTTCAAATGTGCAAAAGAAACTGCAAAACTGTCATTTTCTGAAGCATTTGATATCTTATGTTCCAGGTATTGTCATCAGTTTGGCTCAAATAAAATGTTATAAAATTTTTTTACAGGTTTGGATGTTTTTACATCGACAATTACCTGAGACATACCCAGTAGCTGGGACTGATCCATTCCTAAGTACTCCTTGAAAATAATGATAACTCAATTATTTTTTTTTCTTCCATAAAAGTGTTTTGCACACTTAATTACATTCTAGGCACTCACTGAACTGGGTGTTAGAATATACATTGGTAGGAAAAATTGATCTTACCCTTATTCTCATGGATCTTACTGTTTAGTTGGGGAGAAAGACATTAATGTTATTATACAAATATTTAATTGTGAACTGGTATATATTTGAAAGAAAGGTACAGAATGCTATGGGAACATGTAACTGATGATAATGGATACTGAGAACTCACCCATGTCTGAGTTCCATTACCAATCATCCCCATTGCCAGTAGAACCAGGCTTGTTTCTTTAAAATAGCTAATGCTAGTAAACTGGCATGTCCTTTGAGAAAGTTGGAGCAGTTTATATTCTGCTTAAGAATCAGGCAAAGTCATTGCAGGTTCACTTATGTTTTTCTTTATAATCTAGGAGTGGGCCAAAAAGGGGACTAATGATTGGAGAAGAACAAATAGAGTTAAATTTCTTAGAAAGTAGAAACTGACATCCCTAAAAAATAGTAATAAAAGTTATTAGTCCACTGTAAATTATAAAAGACCTGGAGTTATTTTAACTTGGCATTTAATTTTTCCATTATGGAGACAAGAATTGCTGCTATGGCATCATTGTAATCCCCTGTCATGGGTAACTTCATTTTCTCTGAGTGCTTGAGTAGATCTATGTGAAGCACAAGGTCTTTAACTGGGGTTTCAAAAACTACTGGGTGTCATTTGATGTTCACATACTGCCCTTCCTCCATTTCCTTCTTCAGTGTCTTCCCAAAGATCAAGGTAAAGAGACTCAACTGTATTTTCATTATTTTCAAAATGACTGACCGAAAGGATTACCTGTTGTATTTAGAACAAATCAACTAATTAAAAAATTTTTAAAATAACATACCATTATTTATTTTTTTCCTTTTTCATAATTAAATAATAAACTATAAGTGAATCCAATAATAGGTTGTTTATAGTCCCAGATCAAAAAGTGGTTGGCTGTATCGAGTATAATATAGGGAATAGAGTAAATGGTATTGTAATAGATATATACGATGTCAGAGGGGCAATAGATTGGGGGAGGAGGTTATCACTTTGTGAGGGGTGAAATGTATAACTATTACATTGTTTTGTACACCTGAAACTAATAATAATAATAATAAAAATAATTTTTTTTTAAAGTGGTTGGCTGAGTTTTTTCCCCAAAGAATTGATAAAGGAAGTAGCAATTTAATTATTGTGTAAACCTTTTGTTAATCCTAAAGTCATACTTGTTTTTCATGAAAACAACTTGATTAAAGAATCTTCAAATAAAATGGCACGGATATTTTACCTGATTAGAGAAGACTTTTTCAGACAAAACCCAGATACTGTCAACATAGCCATAAACAATTTAAAGACTATTTAAATGAACAAAAACCTTTATTATTTTATGTAAATCAAGTACTTATAAGGTGAAGGAAATTGGTGAATTAATACATATATATATTTACTGTCAATATTAACTTTTAAGAGACAAGGTACTATGTTTTCAAGAACTTGAAGAAACCTTTGTGACTGAAAAATCCAGGTGTAAATGGTAAGTACGTATTTTCTGAATCTCAGTAGTTAGCTCTGGGATTGACTCTGAAACAACAGTTGGGAGCATATCATAACTTGAGTTCATGGGTGGTGAGTGGACCAGAAAGAGCCAGGAACGAGGTCGGTGCTCCAGCAAGAGCTCAGCACCTGAAGTCCAATGC